ACAACGTTGGCAAATTTCGCAAAAATCCCCAAACTTCCCAAGTTGTGGCGAATTTGTCAATTTATTTCCCGATCAAACGGGTTCTGGAAAACTTGCCTGGACTTAAAAATTCGTAACTCACCAGTCCCAAGTCACCTAAAGCTGCACAAAACAGCAGTCGAAAGAGAACATTTTGCTCTATCTTGTGGAAAATTCCAATAAAATCTCCAAGTTGTGTCGAATTTTTAAAATTACTTCGCGATCAAACTGGTTTTGGAAAACATGTCTGGACTTAAAAATATGTAAGTCCTCAACCCCAAGCCGCGTAAAGCTGAACGATACATAAATGGATAGAGCATGTTCGCTCTACAACGTTGGCAAATTGCGCAAAAATCCCCAAATAGCCTAAGTTCTAAGTTCAAGGGGAGAAATTTCCAATTTTCTGCGCGACCACTGACGACATGGCTGGACTTAAAAAACTGTAACTCCCCAGTTAGAAGCTACGTAAAATTGCAACAAACAGCAGTAGAACGTGAATGTTTTGCTCCACCACGTTGACGAATTTCATAAAAATCCCAAAATTTCGCAAGTTTTGGTGAATTTTTCAATGTAAATTTAATTCAATTTGTTTTTGTAGTGCCACTGTTGATGTTTTGTTCAAAAATTCATTCTGAACAAACTGGTTGACCCTGACTTTGGTTTTGACATTACTTTGAAGATAAAGAGTTACTCTAAACTCGCGAAAAGCTGATAAAAAATAAGCAAAATTTTAAGAATTTTTAGAAAAATCTCTAAATTTGTCGTTAAAGCAATCAAGCATAGTTTTTCAAAATGTAATAGAGCAGACACTATTTCTACTAGAGCGCTTGTTATGGAATTATTATATAGACAGAAGTTTGTTCTAAAAGTCTGAATAATTAAAGGTCTGTATCGAGTTTGGCTGAATTTTTGGAACCGTTCAAATCTGTGTTTAGAACTGGCTGATTTGGCGTTGTTGCAAGTTGTCGTTGTGTTTTCAAAAATTCAGTACATCGAAACTGGTTAATCYAAAACGTTGRCTTTGGGACGCCTTAGAAAAGAAAACCTTGCCCTAAAACTGTGCAAAGACGCACTTTGATAGGGAATTTGGGAACAGTTTGACAACATTTTGAATATGGGTTTCAAATAGTCAAATGCGACCTTAATGATTCTAACTACCCGATGTAGAGAATTTAATTTTGCGAAAACCGAAGGAGTTAGAAAACTTGTTTTGCTATTGTTTTAAACAGAAAAACATGTGCAACATCTCGGGAAAGAGTCATTTTAATTTAGAAATTGG